TCTGGAATTGTGAATTTTGGTTTTAATATTCCTTTTTCGATGTTGATTTTAATAATGTTTTGTTTGGATGATTTTTTAGGGAAAATATTTCTTGTCAAATCATTTGTGAATGTTGTGGTAGTATTATCTTTGGTTCTGTTTACCTTAGATGCACCAGTGTAGTTTTAGATTATACTGGTTATGTTGTGATGTGGTGTAGTTTTTGTTTCAAAAAAAAGAATTTATTCATTATTATTAATAATATTTTTTTAAAAATTTTTTTTGAAAATTTGTGTTTAATTTATATGATGATTTTGGATGGTAATTTTTGTTTTAATAGTTCTGGTTTTTTAGTATGTTAAAAGTGTTATTTAGGTGACCAGACTTATTAAATTTTGGAATACATTTTAGGTATTCTGGATAAGTATTTTAAAGAGTATTTAGTGAATAAAATGGATTTTGAGCAGAATGTTGATTATTTTGTGGTGGAATAATGCAATTATTAGTATCCAAGTTATCATCACCATTATTTTGATTATTATTTTTTTAAAATTTGTTTGTGAATGAATAAATAAAAGAGATACACCGATCAACTAGTGAGATCTCAATTAGATTTCGTCTACTTAAAGTTTTAAAAAATCAAAGAAAATTTTGGATTTATTTAAAACAGTTAATGAAAGTGTATGTGGTGATATATGTAGATTATATAAAAATCAACAAAAGTGTGTAAAAATAAAATGAATTGTATAAAAAGTGATAAATATCATTAAAAAAATGAATGATGTTGTACAGTTCTTCGCAAAAGTTTTGACCCCCTTTTTTAAAATTTTTTTATTTTTATTTATCTTCAATAATTTTAATTTCAATTATTCTAAAAAATATAAAATAAATTTTAGAACATCTGAACTATATTTTTTTATAAAAAAAAAATAAAATAAAAAATTTTTTTTTGAAATTTTTTTTTTTTTTTTTTTTACATATAAAAAAAATGGGTTCATTATTTTTAAAAAGATAATTTAAATTTTAATATATAATTTATTTTTTAAACAAAATTTTTTTTTTAATGTTTTGTTTCTTAATATTTTGTGAATTCACCTTAGTTCTTATTTATTTGTTGTATTTTTATTGAGGTTGATTCATAAAGATTATCAAATTTATCTTGATGAATATTTTTTAAAATTCAACAAATTAAAATATTGAAATTATGACGTGGGTACCCGATAGAAATCAATTTTATACATCGTTTTACTATTGACCATATATTCTCAATAATATTAAGATCTGGTGAACAGGGTAGAATAAATATCACCCTAATGTGCATTTTTTCTTAAAAATCCGCCAATAATTAGGTCATATGAATAGAGCAATTGTCTTGTAAAAGAAACATATGACCAGATAAAATTCATTTCTCTTGTAAAGTTCTTCTATAACCCTGTATTAATATTTTTAAATATTTTGCAGCATTTGTGTTAAACCTAATAATACATATACGACGTGCACTAAGAGCTGTGCAACAACATCATGTATATATTGAGCTGCCACCTCATCTTCGTTTGGCCAATATGTTTTGTTTAAGGTTTCTTGTATCATGAATCCATTTTTTAGTTTTCAATAAATAAGAAAATCCTTTAATTCTGGTTTCATCAACAAATATTACCCTTTTCCCAATTTTCAGCTGCCCAATTTTGGAACTTTTTTACCCACCTTAGCTTTGAGACATATATTTTTCGGTTGGAAAGTGTTTACATTTTAAACTTTTAAAAAAAACATTATTATGTTGTAGAGACCTACTATTTGAAGTTATTGAAACATTTTTCTGAAAGTTTTTTCTAAGATATCTTTTTATATTACTTAAATTATGACATTTCCCATTTCAATTTTATTTTCTACAATTTCTTTCAATTCGGTCGTCCATCTTTCTTATTATGCCAGGTATTGTATTTTCTTCAATTGTACCTTTTTCTATATTTTTTTTAAAAAATTCTCTTAACTGTGGACCTACTTCACTCAAAATATCTTTAACTTTTTGATGATTTTTTGCTTTTTTGTAAATTTTTAAAATCATATTTATTAACTCTAAAAAAAGGGTCATTATTGTTTTTTTTTTCTATTTTTTATGAATATACTGTCCTATTTGTTTTTAAAAAAAAATTAAAATAAAAATAAAAAATTATAATAAAATTGAATTATCTTCTCAAAAATTTAGACCCCATTTTATATGGGCGCTATAAAAAAAAAATAAAAAAAATTTTTTTAAAAAAATAAATTTTAAATTTTTATTTAACAAAAAAAATATAAAAAAACCGTATAAGTTTATCTATAAATATTTTTAAAATGGATTTATAGTCATAAACCTAAGATAAGATTAAAATTAAAATTTTTTTCTAATGTTTTTTATTAGGGGTCAAAACTTTTGCGAACAACTGTAATTAGTGGTAATTAATTATAGTTAAAGATATGGTAATAATAACTATAATAAAAAAGTGTTCATACACTAGTAGTATGTAAATTTTGTGTAAATGCCCAGATAGCTCAGTCGGTAGAGCGCAAGGCTTTTAACCTTGTGGTCGGGGGTTCGAGCCCCCCTTTGGGCGAATTTTAGATTTTAAATATCTTCCATGTGATTTTATTTTAAAAATATTTTAAAATTAATGATGTATTTAAATAATAAATTATTTAAAATAAAGGTTTCAATACCCAACAAATTCAGTTGTCCCAATATCAAATAAACCAGAAAGATATTTAGGTTACTACTTCACAGGTACCGGAATCCATAGAAAACTACCAGAAATACTGAATTCTATAAGATCCTCGTTATCATTATGGAAAACAACAAGTAACTCAATTAAAACAAAAGTAAACATCCTCAAATCCTTTGCACTATCAAGAATAACATGATATACTCTTATATTGAAGAATTCAACGATGATGAAATTAAAGAAGTCAATAAAATTGCAGATTGGTTCCTATCAGCACCTAACAATAAAAGTCCAAATGGTTTTAAAGTCTTCAAATTAATGAGCGAATTATCCTATGGATCAAGGAGGAATATTTGGAATATATGTTTTGCCCAAAGACTATGGATGATAATTCAAATAATAAATAATATTGAAACTAATAAAATAGAATAAGAATATCAACACAGTTGGAAACATCAAATTTCAACCAAAACAATAACTTCAGATTACCTACTTAAAAACTACAATGATTGGATACAAATAAAAGTTAAAAAAGGATTACTGGACGGGTTGAAATCCATTAAAAATAAGGACGGCAAACCTCTTTCTTTAGCAGAATGGTATTCGGAAATAAACAATCTCAACATCTTTACACCCAAAACAGAATTCCAACAATGTCTTCAACTTACAGGTTATAGCTATATCAACCTATTCAATAATATACTTAATATTAAAGATCCAAAATCAAGGAACACCCTATTCTAATTCCAAGCAAGATGCTTACCCATCAACTTCATTCACAAAAAACCATGTAGACTATGTAATGAAAATCTTAGTAATGATCCATATGGTCATCTATTTTTCAAATGTAAAAATTCATCAACTTCAATAAACTAAAATCATTTATATTCATTACTTCGGGAAGGGTCACTGGACATAACAAGATCAAGAAGGAATATATCAATAAAAAATATTACATACAAAATCCCAGAAGGTCGCAAATCCGATGGACAAATAAATATGGATTACAACAACACCAGATTTCACAAATCACACTTCCAATGGAACTATAAAGCAATAGATTTCGACTTAACTAGATGCTTCGCTTATACATATAGAAATGCCATAGCCCTGGTATTTCATCAAGTTTGGATTTGGTTATGTAAAGAATTATATGACGATCAAGAAAATACAATAAAAGAACTCGATTATAAGAATCTAACCTCAAAATGGACTAAGCTAGCTACTTTAGAATACTTAAAAGGTTTAAAAAACATCAAGGAAAGACACGCTAAACAACCACAAACAATTAGCAACATCAATAAAGAATATAGAAAATTCAAAAGAAGAATAGCAAGAGCAAACTTCATCAGCATCAAATCATTACCAAATATCAACAGTTTAGAATATTTTCTTTAAAAACTTTATAAAAAACATTAAATAATATTTTACTGATTAATTTAAAGCATTTGCTTTTAATTATCTTCGCTTTAAAAAAAAAAAAAAAAAAAAAAATAAAGGAAAATATAAATATATTAAAGCATTCATTTTTAAAACATTTATTTCTATGAATGGGATCATCTACCATTTTTGGCTATTGTATTTTGGTTTTGATTTATTTTGTGATGACAACTCACTCGAAAATCGAATATTAAATTTTTTTATTCAATTGCTGAGGGTCGGAGCCTTAAATGTTGGGTTGGAAATTATATTATTATCAACTGCAACACAAGATACTTGTTGGTTTGTTTTAAATTTATCTTTTTTTTATTAAATTGTAAAATTCTTCATTGGTCTTTTTAATTTTTTAAGTTTATCTTTGTAGTTTTTAATTTGATTTCTTTTTGTTTTTATATAAATTTTGAATGTATATTTTTTGATTTCAATTAATGATTTTAAAGTATAATCTATTAGTTGAATATCCTTTGTTGAAGGAGATGTACTTAATGTACAAAAATATTTAAATTCAAACCAAATATCTTTATGGTCAATTAAAATATTGTTTGTAGTTTATCAAATTTAAGTAATTTTTTTTTGTTTTATAATTTAGTAGTTAGATATTACTATATCATTTTTATAAATATGATCAATTGAAGAAAAATCAGTTTTTTCAAATAAATTATTTAAATTTTTAATTTCATCACGAGTGAATAATTTAGTTTCTTGTGAACATATAATTTTTATATTCTTTTTTATAGAAAGTTTAATAATATTTTTTATTTTAGAGGTGAAATCACCATTAATGTTAAAAGACAATATATTTAAATTTTTAAAATTAATATTTATTTTATTTTTATTTTATTTTGGATATTTAATAAAGCATCGTGAACAGTATAGTTATTATTATTCTCTTCCATTGTTATTTGTACGATATCTTTTTTTGTTTTGGTTGTTGTTTGATTGTTCATATTGCATAATGATATCAAAATCTTTAATATCGTGTTTTGATTTTTTATTGAATTTTTTTAATAAATTAAAATATTCAACTATTAAATCTGATATTTTATTATTGGTGTACGTTGAGCATTTTACAATATGTAGAAAATCTTCAATATCTGTGTAGTTACATATGATGTTGGCTCTAAATTTTGACTGAGGTTGTGATTGGATTTGATTGATTAAACTCTTTAATAAAGGTGAGCATTCCTTTTCAAATAATTTATTTATTTCATTGGTGGTTAATAAAGTGATAGGTATTATTGTTGGTTTGATATTAGTAGCAGGATCTGATGAAATTAAAGATATAATTTCATCATTTAATTTAATGGTACCAACATGAGACAACCATAAATCTAGTTTTATATGTTTTCTTGGGTCAATTGTTTTATTGTAAATTGAGAATTTGTTTAATAAAACATGTTGGTCAATTGTGTAGATGATTGATTCAATTTTAATTGTACATTCTTCTAAGTTTATGGTGTTTTGTTTTAAGTTTTTTAGTGATGGACCAAGATTTAAATATGTTGATCTTAATGTAAAGTAGTGGTTGTTGTTTTTTGTGAAAAATCTGTCACAGTTAGAGTTTGGAATTATTGTTGTGATTTTGTTAAACAATGGCAATATTAAATCCATATTATTGTGTTGGGGTGTTGATACACCATATGACAATTGGAATTCTTTTTTTGGAATTGTTATTGATTTGTAATATGGAAGATCTGATGAACTAGTATTTATTTGGCAATTGTTGTGGAAAAGGAATAATGATCTTTCCAAACATGAATTAAATTTTAATGATAGATGATTGATAATGACCGATTGGTCGAATTTATCAGTTTGAATATTGTTTATTGTGGTGATGAGTTTGAATGTTGTTGTATTGATTTTTTTGAATAATGATTGTGATAATATTGCATCAAAATCAATATAAAGTGATATATTATTTGGTTGTAAGCCAAATGGTTCTGGAATTGTGAATTTTAGTTCTAATATTTCTTTTTCGATGTTGATTTTAATAATGTTTTGTTCTGAATGATTTTTTAGGAAAATGTTTCTTGACAAATAATTTGTGAATGTTGCGATGATTTTGTCTTTGGTTTGGTTTACCTTAGACGCACTAGTGTAGTTTTGGATTAGAGTGGTTATGTTGTGATGTGGTGTGGTTGGTGGTTCAAAAAAAAGGATTGGTTCATTATTCTTAATAATATTTTTTAAAATAAAATTTTGAAAACTTGTGTTTGATTTATATGATGAGTTTGGATGGTTATTTTCGTTTTTATAGTTCTGGTTTTTTGGTGGAGAAAATGGATTTTGGGTATAATGTTGATTATTTTGTGATGGACCTATACAATCATTAGTATCCATGTTGCTATCACCATCATTTTGATTATTATTTGTTGACATTTTGTTTGTGGATGAATAAATAAAAGAGATACAATGATCAAAAACTGAAATTTCTTTAGCTTCAAAAAGTTTTAAAAAATCAAAGAAAATTTTGGATTTATTTAAAACAGTTATGTATGTGGTATGTTAATTTTGTGTGTGGTAATTCGTTTTTATTTTTATGATTTTAAAATATTTTATTTTTTAAAAAAAAAAAAATTTTATTTTTTAAAAAAAAATAATTTTTTATATTTAAAATATATTTAAAATTTATATTTTATTTATAAAAAAAAATTAAAAAATAAAAATTTATGCATATAACTTTTTTTTATAAATAAAAAAAAAAAATTTTCATTTCTTTTTCACTTTTAAAATTTGCTAATAAATCTAAAATAACAGTTCAAATATACACATCATAATTTGTTTCTTTCAGTATTATCCCTTTTTTTTATTTTTAACCATTTTTTTTTTTTTGAATTTTTTTTTTTTTTTTCAATTTTTATTTTTTTATTAATTATTATTTTTTTTTATTTTTCTTTAAAAAACCTTCACAAAACCATATTGATAAGTTAAATATTATGATGCTATATTTATACCTGTGTTGATGTTTATACTCACACCTCTTCAATAATAAAATGACAATATAATATTTTTAAAAAAAAAATTATAAATCATCAGTATAATCGGATTCATCTTCAATAGTTTGGGATACTTCCCTTAAATTCAAAATTAATGTAAAGGGTGTTAAAGTTCCATATGCACTTTGTAAATATCCACAATCAAAAGGGTGTTAAAGTTCCATATGCACTTAGTAAATATCCACAATCAAAAGCATTTGTGATCTAAGAATTCTAAAATCGATTCAAATTTATAATAATAATCATAAAAATATCACATTTATTAGAAAAAGGTCACACATTTATTATTTTATATTCATCATCAAATTTTGACACAAATTTAAAATAAAATATTTTAATTTTTAAAGAATAATATTTTTCATTATAAATTAAATTCAAAAAATAATTTTAAGATGAAAAAGAAGAGAAAAAGAGTTTAGTTATAAAGTTTAAAAATAATAATAATTAGTAATTTTTAGTTTTAATAAAGATTGGTTATTTTTTAAATATTTTATTTTATCTTTATTTTGTGTTTTATTATTATAATTACATTTAGTTTAAAATACATTTTTCAAAATAATTTATTCATTATTTCAGAGATATTATAACAGTTATATTGCAGTAATACGTCAATAAAAATATCTCAATTTTTTTATTTTGGGATGAATAAATTTGTTTTTTGTCATTAATAGTTTTTTTTTGCCAAAAATATGCTCTTATATTCTAATTTCATATAATTAAAAAACAATTTTAATTGAAAAAATTATCTAAAAATTAAAAAAAAATCAAATTTTTGTATTAATTGCTAACCACGAATTTTTGACTTACCCCTTCAATAAGAATGGTGCAAAGGTTAACACGACTTTTATTAATTTATTTTAAAAGAATTTTTAGTAATTTAATTTTGATTATTTAATTTTTGTTATTTAATTTTTGTTGATTAATTTTTTTTGGTAATTTTTGTTATTTAATTTTTATTTGAATTCATCGATAGAGTTCTGTAGCTTTCCAGGTGTATCGGTATTTTCACTCTAAATATATCTGATTTCCATATCTTGCTAAACTTCTCTAGCCTGTTGACTATCTTCATTGTGTGGTGTCGCTGGTTAGCTGGACCTTGATTTTGAAGTTTCTTATATATTCTATTAATATTTTTGACTTCTCTTTCCCATGCTGCTGCGCAGATTAACTTGAATCTCTTGAGTATTCTTTCATATGTTAAATCGTATGTGAATTGTTCATGATTTTTCTTGTTTCTTCTGTACCATATTTGTTCGAAAATAGTTGCTATTAAAATTTGCTAGGAATGATAGTTTCTTTCTTGAGTTAGGCTGGATTGCTCTGATATATCTTTCATATGTCCAGGCTTTCTGTGCTTCTGCTCTTGTTTCTATATCCCATAAACCTAATCCTCCTTTTTCGTAGTCTTTTCTTGCGCATTGTCTGCTTATTGTCATTTTGTAATTTGTGTTGTATACATATCTGGTGCATTTGTCCGAAAATTCGTTTAACGCTGTTTTGTAGTTGATGTACATGTGGAATGTTAGTTGTGACAAGCAGTACGTTTTTAAAATGTTTAATCTACCTCTGAGTGTTGATGTTGCATTTTTCCATGATGCAAATTGAGCTAGAATTTTTTCTGTTATTTGGTCGAGTTTCGATTGAATCCCTTTTTTGTTGAAGTTGAAGCCTAGGTATCTTTCGGTTTTTCCTTCTTCTAATTGTGCATAAATTGATTCGCTTTCTTCATCGAATGTTACATTTGCATTTGTTTTTGTTGATTTTGGCGGTTGTTGCTTGGCAGAAAAGATTTATAATATTGTCTATTTTCAGTGAATCTTGATAGTTTTTAGCTATTGTACTTGTGTCATCTGCGAATTGACGTATCTTTTGGCCAAATATTCCTTCTATTTCTTTATTTTTTTTTATTGCTGTTGCCATACATTCTACTACTAGAGAAAATAGTGTTGGTGATATTGGGTCCCCTTGTTTGGTACCTCTTTTTGATGTGAAAGGGTCTTATAAAGCACCATTGATTACAACTCTGATTTCTGAATCTGTGAGCATGTCTTTTATTGTTTTAATGAATTTGATTGGCAACTTGAGATTTTCCAGTGTTCTGATGATTGCATCGTGTCATATCGAATCAAAAGCTTTTTCAAAGTCATAAAACGTTATTATTGGCTTGGTGTCGTTGTCTAGGTTTGAATTTTTTAATCTTGTTATTATTTCCAATAGTGATATTATGTTGTCGTGAAGTATTCTCCCCGGGACGAATCCTGTTTGGTCTTCTGATATTTCGGATCAATCCCATTAGTGTAGAAGTGATTGAATAACTTTAGTAATATTGGCATTACTAATGCCGCATTAGTGTGTTGATGTGGTTTTTGTAGAATGTGGCCACAATCCCATCCTGTCCTAGTGCTTTTCCTTCGTTGATCTTTTCTACTATCACAGTAATTTCTTTTTCCGTGATATCATTGCTGAGTTTATCTAAGATCATTTTATTAACTGCAACTTGCAAAGTTGATAGTAGCAAAAAAAATCAAAAAAATGACCTATAAAAAAATTTTTAACAAATGCCCAGATAGCTCAGTCGGTAGAGCGCAAGGCTTTTAACCTTGTGGTCGGGGGTTCGAGCCCCCCTTTGGGCGAAACTTTTTTTATAACTTTTTTTATAACTTTTTTTATAACTTTTTTTATAACTTTTTTTATAACTTGTAAGGTACTAAGATCAAATAATTAAATAAAATAAAATTTATATGAAATGTTTATGTTTTTGTAAAATTCGAAAACTAAAAAGTTTTTTTATTATTTTTATTTTTTTATTTTTTTTAAAAATTTATTTTTTTTTAAAAATTCTTTTTGATGAATTAAAATAATTGTTAATTATTATTAATTAATATTGATTATTATTGAGTAATGATCCTTGTTCATTACAAACTTTTTTTATAACTTTTTTTATAACTTTTTTTATAACTTTTTTTATAACTTTTTTTATAACTTTTTTTATAACTTTTTTTATAACAGTTGACAAAAAACCGACAAGTGTTAACATCATATAAAATCTTACTTTTTATAAATTAAGTTTTATCAAATAATTTTAGCACTGTCCAACAGCTTTTTAAAAGCTATTTCAATGTATATTAATTATACACCACAAAACACAGATCAAAAGAATTTAGATCGTATTAAAGATTTTTAATCTTCTATCTTCACTATCTCCAATCTTCACAAATTTGTCTTTCTAAAAGCCAATCCAACTACAAACATCATTCCCACCACCATCTTCAAACGTAAAACCAATCATAATAGATTTATCCAACGATTGGAAAGAAATGAAAACTAAGGATTTTCCCCATAATAATTTCAATACTATTGAAGACATACTCTTGTCAAGCATCTCTATAATTCAAAAAAGTGTTAAAGATATCATTGAACGAGATAACAAACTATCCACTTATGAAAAAAATGGAAACAACATCAATCTCAGATTATATTACCCAAACCACCAAATATCCCATGAACATATAATTCATTTCAGCAAATACACAGATATAGAAAAGATCTCATTCGACAAAAAGAAAAAGAAAACTATCTTTATCTCTCTCTCAAAAGAAAACCTACATAATCTCCTTAATGAAAGAGATACCACCAACAAGATGAACAAGTTCATCACGCACTGTGACGATTACCATATGGTAATTGGAAACATCAACTCATCCAATCAAGACATTGAAAAAGTGTTAAAAGAACAACTTAACCTAAAAATTGACTTCTTCTTTTCTCACATCAAAGTCAACAAAAACAATACCTCCTTTTTCCACCTCATCGAAAGAAAAAACAACTCAATCAAATCAAAGCTACTCCAATCACCATACTATCGTATTAAGATTAAGTCTGCAACAAAATCAAAAAATCATCCTAACAACAAAATCAATCAACTAATCAATGAAGATATACTAGGGGTCTCCACTGATAAAGAAATTGATAACAACATTACCATAATCAATCAATCAATCAATCAAAAAAGATAGGGTCGACTTTAATGATCAAGATGATGATTACAAAGAAACTATTTCTGACAACGAATCTAACAATTCAACTAACACACTAGATAACGAGGAAATATCTAATGACGAAACAAACAAACAAACAAAAAACCAATCACCACAAGATGACAATAAATCATCAACCAGCAAACCCTCAAGAACATCCAGGGTTAACGCACTAAACAACATCTTTACAAGATTAGCTTCACCAACTTCCAAAAATAAAACCGCCATAACAAATATGAATACCACCGCAAAAAGTAACCGTACTCGAAATGTTAGCCAAATATCCACACCAATCAAAAACACTCCATACCAATCAGGCAGTCCGAAATCACCTGCTATTGAACAAAAATCTAAGAAAAAAAAAACTTCTTAAACTAGATAGGTTGTTTCAACCTTACCCCAACACACCTTACCCCAACACCTGCTTCTTCTTATATTTTAATATAAATAAACACCGTCGCTTACACTAATAATATTTATTATATTATTAAGTAAGCTTTTTTAAAAAAAAAAAAAAAAAAAAATTTTTTATAACTTATGTTTGATTTTGGTTGATTTTAGCACTGTCCAACAGCAACATCATTCCCACCACCATCATTTTACTGATTAAATTTAAAGCATTTAAAAAAAAAAAACCGACAAGTGTTAACATCATATAAAATCTTACTTTTTATAAATTAAGTTTTATCAAATAATTTTAGCACTGTCCAACAGCTTTTTAAAAGCTATTTCAATGTATATTAATTATACACCACAAAACACAGATCAAAAGAATATAGATCGTATTAAAGATTTTTAATCTTCACTATCTCCAATCTTCACCAATTTGTCTTTCTAAAAGCCAATCCAACTACAAACATCATTCCCACCACCATCTTCAAACATAAAACCAATCATATTAGATTTATCCAACGATTGGAAAGAAATGAAAACTAAGGATTTTCCCCATAATAATTACAATACTGTTGAAGACATACTCTTGTCAAGCATCTCTATAATTCAAAAAAGTGTTAAAGATATCATTGAACGAGATAACAAACTATCCACTTATGAAAAAAATGGAAACAACATCAATCTCAGACTGTATTACCCAAACCACCAAATATCCGATGAACATATAATTCATTTCAACAAATACACAGATATAGAAAAGATCTCATTCGACAAAAAGAAAAAGAAAACTATCTTTATCTCTCTCTCAAAAGAAAACCTACATAATCTCCTAAATGAAAGAGATATCACCAACAAGATGAACAAGTTCATCACGCACTGCGACGATTACCATATGGTAATTGGAAACATCAACTCATCCAATCAAGAAAAAGTGTTAAAAGAACAACTTAACCTAAAAATTGACTTCTTCTTTTCTCACATCAAAGTCAACAAAAACAATACCTCCTTTTTTCACCTCATTGAAAGAAAAAACAACTCAATCAAATCAAAGCTACTGCAATCACCATACTATCGTATTAAGATTAAGTCTGCAACAAAATCAAAAAATCATCCTAACAACAAAATCAATCAACTAATCAATGAAGATATACTAGGGGTCTCCACTGATAAAGAAATTGATAGCAACATTACCATAATCAATCAATCAATCAATCAAAAAAGATAGGGTCGACTTTAATGATCAAGATGATGATTACAAAGAAACTATTTCTGACAACGAATCTAACAATTCAACTAACACACTAGATAACGAGGAAATATCTAATGACGAAACAAACAAACAAACAAAAAACCAATCACCACAAGATGACAATAAATCATCAACCAGTAAACCCTCAAGAACATCCAGGGTAAACGCACTAAACAACATCTTTACCACCTGCTATTGAACAAAAATAAAACCGCCATAACAAATATGAATACCACCTCAAAAAGTAGCCGTACTCGAAATGTTAGCCAAATATCCACACCAATCAAAAGCACTCCGTACCAATCAGGCAGTCTGAAATCACCTGCTATTGAACAAAAATCTAAGAAAAAAAAAACTTCTTAAACTTGATAGGTTGTTTCAACCTTACCCCAACACCCACTTCTTCTTATATTTTAATATAAATAAACACCGTCGCTTACACTAATAATATTTATTATATTATTAAGTAAGCTTTTTTAAAAAAAAAAAAAAAAAAAAAAAAAAAAAAAAAAATATTTCAAAAAACAAAAAAAATTTAAAATTTTTTTTTTGGAAAAACTAAACCCAAAAATGAAAAATAAAAAAAAAAAATTTTTTTTTTAAATTTTTCATATTTTTTATTTTTATTTTATTTTTAATTTTTAATTTTAAATAATAAATTATTTAAAATAAAGGAAAATATAAATATATTATTTAGTTGAGATATAATTATAACTGTAATATTCATTTAATTCTAAAATGCATATGAATACATTACATATCCCCCACTTTGACTAAAGACCCAATAAGCCTCCTCCAAACACTAGCCATCTATATTATATTTTTTTTTGTTTTTTTTTTTTTTATTTGTTTTTGTTGAGATAATTGATCATTTGACCATGTTGAATTAACTTTATCTTTACTACTCTAACTTCGTGTAAGTTCATGCACCAACCTTTTCAATTATTCCGAAAGCAGTGCTGTATCCAATCCCTTTTTGAATAACCAATATTCCATGATTTCAATACTCTTACTTTATCGTAACCTCTGATTTCGCTTGTAATTTTTATACTTGAATTAAAGACCTTTTTATAATCAACCTGGATTACCATCTATACTAATTCTTGCTATTATCGGGATACTATTGACGCTTTAGATTACTAAGTACCAAACTTTAATCTTTAGCTTTTTAACGCACCAATTGAAATGTAAGCTGCCGCAGCAACCTATAGAACTACCATCCTAAACCTGATTGGCATCCATTTCCATCATTCCATTGATTTGTCGCAACTGATTTATATGTCAGTTTCTGTACACTAGTCTATTTCACCTAAATGCACCTCTTATTTGCATAGTTTTAGCCGATGCGTGGCTCCTAACGCACCATTTGAAACGTAAGCTACCTCTGTAACTACCTATAGAGCTACCCTCTTTATCGTGATTGGCATACATCTCCGTCTTTTCATTTGATTTGTCGTAACTGATTTCTATTTCAGTTCTGTACACTAGTCTATTTCACCTAAATGCACTTCTTATTTTGCATAATTATAGCCATTGCGTGGCTTTTCTAACACCTGGTTAATACCTTAACTACAATTGATTGCACACAGGCAATATCCTTCAATTTAGCTTTTTATTAGCAATTAACCTCTACTCCTAACGCTCCGTGAGTTTTCTTGATTCCATCTGAACCAACCTGTTTTGACATGAGCACCCTTGATTCATCAAACTATACTTGCTTACTTTCGAACCCTCTGTAATACTTCAATATACTAGTTCCATTGCTATACCTTTATACGTTGGACACTCAAGCTCCTTTTGAATATTAACTGATTCTACCTTCATAACTGCAATATTTTTGATTCCCGAATCAGCTCGAACAATTGATATTAATTAATTAATAAATTTTTTTTTTACTATCACTATAACCACCATAGCTTTACTACTCTTACCGAATTAACGCAGACTCAAAGGTTTTTGTTAAGAACAGTAAGATCGTAAAAAAAAAAGTGTAATGTAGGTACAAATCTATTAGTTATTTAAAGTAAATGATATTTATTAAAGTAATAAAACGATAATTATTTAAGTTATGAATATTGTGTATTTTCGAACTAAACCGAAAAACTATTTTATTTTTATTTTTTTTTAAATTTTTAAATTTTTAATTTTTGAAAAATTATTTTAAATATTTTTATAATTTTAATTATTTGATTTAAATTATAAAAAGTATTTAAACTTCGTTGATTAATGTGTTTGATATATAAAATGATTCTTATCTTGAATTATTAACTAAAATGATATTTAATAAGCAGTGATTACATTACATTGGTTGATTTACCCTGCTTAGGTGTATCGATTCAAAACCGTTGATGGAGTACTTAGCGAAAATATCTCTTTAAAAGAGGAGAACAAAAAACTTTTAATGGATTTGGCTGAATTAAAACGTATAGTCGAAGATAAAATATCTCTTTTAGCCGCATCTGAAGCAATGCGTAAGGAAGAGAAGGAAAAGAGTCAGAGGGACACATTTATCCGTATTGATTTAGAAAGCCAAATTGCAGTTCTCAAAAAGAACTCAGAAAGACGTGAGAAGAAGCTCGCGGAATTAAGTGACGAGAATGCAGAGTTAAAATACGTGATAATCGATAATGAAAGAGATATAAAAAACCTAGAAAGCAGGGTAAACCAACTAAGCAAGTCTAGAGAGGACCAAAAAGTTAGTGAAAACGTTGTGGTAGTCGAGAACCAAGTCAACAAGACTATTAGTCGTATGAAGTTGAAGAACGACGATATTGATGATATTTGTAATATCATTTGCAACAGCACAGTAGAGAAATATGGTGAACGTGCTTGGTTCCATTTAAATAATTATGGTTACAGCAAAATCGAAGAGAAACTCGAACAGCTAACCCAAGTAGTATTTTATAACAAGGAAAGTTGTATCAAGTTTCGAGATATCACTAGAGAATATATCGTTAACAATGGAGGTCAAATGGAATGGAACGGTTACGTCAAATATATGAAGGATCACGACAACAAGGCAGAGCGTGAAAATAAGTTAAGAATGAGTTTGAAGGAGGCCAAGGGAAAGATTAGTATTTATGGAGAGAATCTAGGGTCTTATTGCAGCTTGTTCTTGGAGAATAGAATGGTTTGGGAAAACTACACCGACCATCAAAGAATCGCTGAACTCAAGGTCGACTTACCTAATTTTATCACAACACAATTTGTGGATAAATATAAATAAAACAATTACAAAGGGTAATACGAAATCGATCGAGGAATGGGTCAAAGTGTTAAGGGACATTGGTGAGGTAACTTACAAAAATTATTTAGATAAGAAGGAGAGAGAACAGAAGGTTACACCAAGGGTCAAAGAATTTAACAGTGTTAAAGTACACAATACTGTAGAGAAATCAGATAAACCAACTGATGAAGAAAAGGTTAGAAAACCATTTGTTAAGGGGAGGCTCACATGCTTCTACTGCAAGAAAGAGGGACATGTCAGAAACAGTTGTCCAGATCTCGCCAAATAATATATTGGTACCGATAGGTATGCAGAAGCCTACAAGTTTTGCAATGGGTGTGCGTATAGGTAAATATTATTTACGTGCATTGATAGATACTGGTTGTAACGTCAGTTTGTTAAACAACAAGTATTGTTATGGGTTAAAAAGTTTTGTAAAAGATATTAAGGTCAGGTATCCAATTGGTGATGTTTATAGAGAAGACGTTGCTAAGAAGAGTGTGGAGGCTACTGTTCAGTTTAAAACATTGGATGGAAAAATGTCAACCGAAATGAAGTTTTATGCAATTAACATGGAGCATGATATGGTAATCGGGTTGGATTTTTTGGTAGATTCGGTACAGTCGTTACGTATTGAAGATCCTCACATTATCAAAATATTTAAGGATGCAGATAATAATAAATTAGCTCATAAAGTTAAGTTAACCTTATTCGAAAAGGATAAGAAGGTCGTTGATAATCATTCGAAGGTGGTAGCCAGTGGTAGTTTTAAAGATCTACAGGTGAATGGTAGAATGTTAATGTCGATGAAGACGTTAAGGATAACCGTAACGAAAGGTGCGGTTGTTAACGACAAAGTAAGTGATCATGTTGAAAAAACTGATAAAGTAGTTAGTGAAGTAGCAGCTAGCAAGGTGGTCCCAAAAGTAGTGGATGAATTAAACAAAGAACAGCTGGATGCGAAAGTTAAAGAATATACAGATTGGATAAATAATAAGTTCAAGGATGTTTTGGTGGAATCATTACCAAATTTCACACCTCCAGTCAATTGGTTTTTGTTGTGACTCTTTATTGGCCTCAATTGGAGTTGACCCGACTGATATTTGGGGATTATTATTTTCAACTGATTTGGCGAAGTTAGCAATTATCGTTTGGGCCAATGTCTCTTAACACTTTGACCCATTCTTCGATCGATTTAGTATTACCTTTCGTGATTGTTTTATTATATTTATCCACAAACTGTGTTGTGATAAAATTAGGTAAGTCGACCTTGAGTTCAGCGATTCTTTGATGGTCGGTGTAGTTTTCCCAAACCATTCTATTCTCCAAGAACAAGCTGCAATATGACCCTAGATTCTCTCCATAAATACCAATCTTTCCTTTGGCCTCCTTCAAACCCATTCTTAACTTGTTTTCACGCTCCGCCTTGTTGTCGTGATCCTTCATATATTTGACGTAACCGTTCCATTCCATTTGACCTCCATTGTTAACGATATATTCCCTAGTGATATCTCTAAACTTGATACAACTTTCCTTATTATAAAACACTACTTGGGTTAGCTGTTCGAGTTTCTCTTCGATTTTACTGTAGCCATAATTATTTAGATGGAACCAAGCACGTTCACCATATTTCTCGACTGTACTATTGCAAATGATATTACAAATATCATCAATATCATCGTTCTTCAACTTCATACGGCTAATAGTCTTGTTGACTTGGTTCTCTACTACCACAATGTTTTCACTAACATTTTGTTCCTCTCTAGACTTGATGAGTTGGTTTACCCTGCTTTCTAGGTTCTTAATATCTATTTCTTTATCAATTATTACGTATTTCAATTCTGCATTTTCGTGACTAAATTCTGCGAGCTTCTTTTCACGTCTCTCTGTGTTCATTTTAAGAACTGCAAGCTCACTTTCTAAGTCTATACGAATAAATGTGTCCCTCTGACTCTTTTCCTTCTACGAGTTTCTTTTCACGTCTCTCTGTGTTCATTTTAAGAACTGCAACTTCACTTTCTAAGTCTATACGAATCAATGTATCCCTCTGGCTCTTCTCCTTCTCTTCCTTACGAATTGTTTCAGATGCGGCTAAAAGAGATTCTTTGTCTTCGACTATACGTTTCAATTCAGCCAAATACATTAAAAGTCTTTTGTTTTCTTCTTTTAAAGAGATGTTTTCATTAACTAATCCATCAACGGTTTTGTTTGGTTTCATCATTTTTATTACTATTGATTGTTATTAATTATTATGTTTATGTTAAGGTTAAAAAAATATTATATTAAACTATTATTGTTCCACACATATTATCTAGTTGTATTGAGACCCGGGTCGAAACAAAAAGAAATTGTTGAATCACGAATAGATAATTACAAATCTATTAGTTATTTAAAGTAAATAGTATTTATTAAAGTTATAAAACGATGATTATGTATGTTATGAATAATGTGTATTTTCGAACTAAACCGAAAAATTATTTTATTTTTATTTTTTTAAATTTTTAAATTTTTTAATTTTTAATTTTGAAAAATTATTTTAATTATTTTTATAATTTCAATTATTTGATTTAAATTATAAAAAGTATTTAAACTTTGTTGATTAATGTATATTGATTTATAAAATGATTATTATCTTGAAATATTAACTAAAATGATATATAATAAGCAGTGATGATTACATTTTATTATAATTTTTTGCTTTTCTTCCATGTGATGTTGTCGCCATATCATATCAAAATAAAACACCGACTTACAGAAACATGCTTTCAATTATCTTCCACCAAGTCTGGATCTGGGTATGCACCAAACTATTTAACAAAGAGATTGCCCAAATGCAATTGCTAAATCATTAAATTATAATGACATCCAACACAAATGGATCAAACTCGCCTCATTAGAATATGCAAGAACGATCCAATCAAACTACCACAACTTCTTAAAAGTAGATAAACTAATAAATTCAAACCATATTCAAACATTAGATCTAAAATATCCACCTTTTACAAATTACCAGAAACCACTCTGATCAATTTCCCAAACACATACCTGTAACAATACAAATCCTCACACATACCATTTAAAAATTTTATTTTTCAATTGTTTGTTTGTTTTTTTTATTCACCCTTTACATTACATTTATTTGTTTGTTTTTTTATTCACTCTCAATAGGTATTTTGATTACATAGATACTGAGTTGGGCCCGCTTGGTATGTTTTTGAAATTTACCATTTTTTTGAATGTGAATATTAATTAATCTATAACTATTTCCTAATTTATTTAAAACATCAAATCCAAAATAAGTAATTTTGTATTGTACAAAAAAAATGTAGATCTGCTACAATCAAAATTGGTAATCATTTGAAAAGACACCACCCAAAAAAAAAATAAAAAAAAAATAAAATTAATATAAAACAGGGACGTTTTTTTTTTCAAAATTTTTTTTTTTCAAATATATTAAACACATCTTCTTTTAAATAAATCATTTTTACATTTATATTATTTTATTATAATTAATTTTAAAAAATATAGAAAAGAAAAAAAAATTAAGAATTTCGATGTTCATTATATGATAATGAAATTGGTATGATAGTTGAATGAAAATACGCATTAATTGTATATATGTTAAAATAAATAAATTAAAAAAAAATTATTTATTTTTGTGTTTTTTAAACCAAAATATACAATTTTTATAAAATTTATTATAAATCTTTAATGATAATATAAATTTGATGTGATGATAGCAGAGCTAAAGAGGATTTGTCTTTTGCCTTTTTTTTTGTTTCGGCAATGGTACTATGGATATATTTATCATTAATATACAAAGAACATTTGAATTCTGGATTATGATCAGAACCACCTATTTGAGGAATATCCCAAGACAGTTTCATTGGGAAACCAGCAGAACTTAATCTTTGAGCAATCTCTTCTATTGCCTGGGTTGCAGATCCGATTAATATATCGCTATAGTTATTAAAGTTAAAGTTTGGTGGTATAGTGCCAGTTGTTAAAAGATCAATTGCAGTATCTAAAAATTCTTCTTGTTTTCGAAATGATTCATAAACACCTTCTTCTCTATCACATTCTTTTACAATACCAATGAAATATGAATCTTTACTTCTTAATCTACCTCTACTTTGAATCTAAAATTAAGATAAAAAATTTTAGTAAAAAATAAATAATAATAAAAATAATTTGATAATCTTACATTCGCAGTAACAGTTGTAGGTGGATCTAATCTAATTACTAAATTACATTCAGGAACATCAAAACCTTCTTCTACAACACTTGTTGCTACAATTAGATTACATTTATCTTGTCTAAACCTATCAATTGCATCTTTTTGTTTCGAGATTGACATACCATCATTCGATTTCGAACCATGGCCTACAACAATGGTTGGCTTTAAGAATGAAAAATCACCTTTGTTTTTAATTACGTTTAAGATTTCTACAAGTCTAGCGGCGGATTTTCTAGTTTTTACAAAAATAATAGCTCTAAAATTTGAAGAACCATCATTATTTCTATTCTTTTGATAGAATTCGTTTAATATAGTTAGGGCCATTTTTAATTTTGAGTGATTTTGTGCAATTAATTCGTCATCTGGTATAGTATTTAAAAGATCTCTTAGTTTGCCTTTTATACGTGCGTCTGGAATATTTGAAATTTCCTTGTTTAAAAATTCTTTTAAATTTGAAACGCCTGTATCTGAAAAATCTCCAAAGTTCATATATGTGTCGAGTTTGTTTGAGAATGATATTAGAAAGTCTATAATATTTTTATTACGTTCGACTAAAGTTTCGTCGGCTGATGATAATAGTTCGTTTAGCGCACTTTCAGACAATTGAATTTCTTCCATAATGTTACCTACAATATCCAAACACCATCTCTCCAAATTATTTACTTTAATTGGATAAACAATGGTGTTTTTAGAATTTAAATGTGGCTCGATTAAGTGATGGGGTGCTTTAATAAGTTTGCAGTGGCTTGCTCTAGAGATAACTTTAAGACTTATAAGAGTACTGATGAAATCCTTCTTACCAGCTGGTGAGGCAGTTAGACCCAAAAGTTTTGGACGATTTGTTCTTTCAATTTCAGGGAAATGTTTAAGGGCGACCGCAAATGGATGTCCTTTAACGATGTGGTGAGCCTCATCAGTAACGATCAAGCAGAAATGGTTTAGATCGATTTCATTATTAATTATTAAATTGATTAACAATGCTCCAATAATAACCAATACATCAAAGCTTTGAGATAACTGAGTATTTTTAAATGAATCACCATGGGCTGCTAAAACTTGTAGACCTGTTTCTTCTGCAATGACTTTTGATTGTTGTTGAACCAATGGAATTCTATCTACCATAAATATAATACGCTTCATTGGATTTAATTCTTTCATTCTCTTTATTACCATACAACTTATTAAAGTTTTACCCAAACCGGTTGGTAAGCAACATATGATATCTTGTTTCATTGATTCTTTAAATATTTCTATTTGGTATGGTCTTGGTTGTTTATTTAATGGTACAGGTATAATATTGTCGATATTTGATTTGATAACTGGTGTTTTCTTTGATATGTTTGGGTCAAATTTAATACTGAATTTTTTATCCTTTTCATTATTTTTAAATTTGCTGACATTATCTACACCTTCATATAATTTACTTATATCTATTTTATTATATTGCTTAATTTGATTTTCATTTAAAATACTACTTCTAAATGAATCGATTGTTTCTTTTACATTTAAAGGTTCTTCTTGATTAATATTTGTGTCACTAACATTGACTACGCTATAATTACTAATTTTTTTAATTGGAATTGTTGAATTATCATTATCATTATTATTATTATTATTATTATTATTATTATTTGTTAGAGAGTTTTTTATAACATTTTTTGAATTTAAAATAAAATTATCATAGCTTTTACTATTTTTTCCAATCAAATTATCCGTTGAGTCTTGACTTTTTGCTTTAATATACTCCATAGTCTTTTTTGCACATTCTTCCTCTGATTTCTTTTTATTTGATAACCATGAAGAATAAAAATTTTTATTGTCATATTTTAATATGGTCTATAAAAACAATAAATAATATTAATAAATAAAGATTTAATATCATAAAATAATATCAAAACTACTGTTATATTATTTTATTTACCCTAAATTCCTTTTGATGATCAGGTCCTCTTGTTTCATTTCTAAACTCTGGGTATATTAAACGAGCTTTTTGAAAATGGGTTTGAAGTAAACCTTTATAATGTATGGGATCCAAATCCATAACTTTCTAATATTTGTATTTGTATATATGTGAATGGTTATTATTTAAAATTGTAATTATAATAAAAAATTAAAAAAATTTTAAATTAAAAATTAAAAAAAAAAAAAAAAAATTTTTTTTATTTTTATTTTTTTTTGAAAATTTTATATAGAAAAGATACCACTATTCATAATTTAAAAATTAAGTCCCTTAAATCATGTATGTTAATATTTTTTTCAAAATAGATGTTGATATTAAAAACGAAAAATTTAACTATAAAAAAAATAAAAATAAAAATTGAAAAAAAAAAAAAAAAAAAATTATTTTTTACATTTTTTTTTTTTTTTTTTTTTTAAATTTTTTTTTTTTTTTTTTCATAGTTTCATCATTTTTTTAATCATTTTTATATATATACATAAAAAAAAAGCAAAAATGTTTAAGCGTGTATTATCATTAAATTTAAACAACAGCAGATTATACTGTAGCAAAGTTAATCAAAATAGATTATTACCAAATTTCAGAGAAACCAAACAAAAAGAAATTATTGACGCCGAAAAAATATATTCAATCACTCCAGTTAAACCATTAAAATATCCAATCGATCCAATTAAAAACTCACAAGTATATTTCGTAGGTAAAACTACTGAATCAGTTAAATATCCAGATATTCCATTTGTTGTCAAAAGAACTTCAACTGGTAAATTACCAGTCTACACTGAAAGAATAGGTCGTTATAATAATGAAAATTTTACAATTTTAAGAAAATTTGATGGTGATAGAAATGTAAGAATTATAATCACTTTTTAATTGTTTTTTTTATTTTTTTTAATTTAATAATTTAATTTAATTTAAATTTACAATATCTAAAATAAATTACTAATCATCTTATTTTATACTCAGATTTTAAAGAGCGAACTTTCAAATCTTTTAGGTGAATCAATACCTATTAAAGAACGTGCCGAATCATTTGAAATTAAAGGTGATCATCAAAAAACTATTATGGTTTGGTTAGCTGGTTTAGGTTTTTAAATAACAAATAAATAATAATAAAATAAAATAAAATAAAATGATATATAAATTTAAAAAAAATTAAATATAAAACAATACACAGTATTACGTTATTTACATATAAATGGTACAATTATATTTTATTATAATTTTTGTTTGTTTAGATTTGTTTTGTGTTGTGTTGGGTTTTTTTAAATGTTTAGGATATCTTGATAATTGGTATCTTCTTTTATACTGGCTGTAGTTGTGTTTAGGCTTTGGTTGATTTCACTTTCAGTGTCGTCATCTAAAACTCGATTTAATTTGTCATCGCTATAATCTACTTCAAAGTCATCGTCGTCATCATTGTCTTCAAAATTTAAAATTTCGTCATCTTTGCCATTATTACGATAGTGCTTTCGAATGATATTTCTATTGTCGCTATTATTTAACTCTTCATTATCTTTTTCTTTTTGATTTTCGTCAATTTGGCTTATATCATTATCTTGATAAAATTCGTCATCGTCGTCTTCAATTGCTTGATCTTCATCATCATCGTTGAATTCCTCCTCTTCTTCTTGTTGTTGTTGTTCCTGTTTAATTTCTTTTTCTAATTTATCTTTAAGTTCAAACAAAGATTTCTTTAAACGACTTGTTAATTCAGCTAATGAGTCGAAATGATCTTCTTGTTTTTGATTTATCGCTATTATTTCTCTTTCTTTTCTTTCGTCTAATTTCTTTTGGGTGAATAATTCTTTTTCTAATTGTCTATTTGAAGAGTCTATTTTTGTACGCTCACTTACCTCAATATTAATTTTATCTTTAAGTTTTTGTAATTGATCTTTTAACTCTTTAATTTCTTTTTCTCTTTCTGAATCTTCTTCATTCAAATCATCAAATATACTATTTGTAAATACTTCGCTGCTTGTCATATCATTTTCTGTATCCTCATCTTTGTAACCCTGTTGTTGTAGTAAGAGTTGATGTTGTAATAAAACTGAACTTGAAAATGTTTGTGAATTGGCTGATGAATGACGTTTATGACTAACCAAGTTGTTGTCTCCTTTACTACTATCTTTACTACTATTGTTATTACTATTATTATTACTGTTACTATTGTTGTTGTTACTATTGCTTCTACTGCTACCAATTATAAATGATGGTATAAATGAATGTCTTCTTGAGGGCTCTGGTGTAGCTGGTGTTGAAGTTGCTCTTGCTCTTGATTTTTTTAATGCTGCCATTTTAGTTTTAATTTTTTGGTATTTTTTATCAAGTTCTTCTTTTCTTTTAGCCTCTGAATTTAATGAATCACGTAGTTTTCTTATTTCCTCTTCAAGTTGTTCATTCTTTTCAGAGAGTGTTAATTGTGGTATTGGTGCAGGTAGTTTCATTGGTGTCACTGCTTGCTGATCTTTCTTTTTTTTATCTCTACTACCTCCTAATGAAAATGAAAATGATCTAGTTTTGGTTGGTGTTGGTACGGGTAGTGTTGTAGTTGTAAGTGATTCTGATAATGGGTTATCCTCTGTGTCATTATTATTATAATTATTGAAATTTTTATTTGGTGTTACTGGTGCAGATTTTGATGTGATGTTGGTGTTGCTAGATAATGATAATGGTGAGGATGATAATGGTGATGTTGGGTTTGATGTTGGTGGACTAAGATTTTGTAATTTTTCTAAATTTCTTTGATATGGAGAGGTCACTATAGGTGCAGAGATTACTGGTTGATGAGTTTGACGTGATGGATAAATATTTACAGAGAGTGGTGGTAATAGTAAATCTGGTCTTGATTTTCTTAACATTGATCTTATTGAACTGATCCAATCCTCCATTTCGCTTTGATTTATACATCTAAAAATATACTCTTTTTCTTTTCTACTCTCTGAAAAACTATTTGGGTTTAAGCTAGTTGAAAGTAAATTTAACTTTGTTTGGCTGTGTGTAAGTGTACCATGATTTGATGATCCATTATTTTCTTTATTACTACTGTTGTTGACAGAGGTGGTACTATTATTATTGTTATTACAATATATTATGAATGTATATAATCTGCTATGTCTGTCGACATTGGTTATATCCGCAAACGATATAGAATCTGTATTTTGATCATTCTCTTTTGATGAGTGTACTAATCTCTGTGAATATAATCTTAAATATCTTGGTGTCCAAATTTTAGTAATCGATGATAACTTTTGAACTTTTCCTTCTTTTTGTGATTTAATTGTCATCATTGTATTTCTTCTTTTCATTGAACCTGGTTTTTTTTTAATATAGATCTCAACCTTTTTTTTTTAATAAAAACATTTTTATTAATAAATAGCCTAAAGTTAATATATTAACTGTTTATATTTGATTTACTTACTCCGCTTGTAATGGGATAGGATACTAATAATGAATCGTCATCTAACCATTGACCTCTGCCTGTTGAGTTTGATGCTGGCATGTATAAACTATAACCAGGTTGTAAACCCGAAAGCTGAGTTGCATAACATATAACATCAAAGACCTTTTGGTGTTGTTGAACATACATAAATTTTGATGCTAATGATGATGTTGGTGGGAATAATAATTTTATAATTAATTCATTTGTATTTTTACCAACCAATATTTCATTTTTTGTTGCCGTATTATTATTATTTTCTATTGAAGTCATTTTAATAATAACAATTTTATTATTAATAAAATGCTATTACTATATTATATTTTATTGTATTGTTATTATTAATATTTAATTAAAATGATTATTTTTTAAAAAAAAAATAAAAAAATAAAAATAAAAAAATTTAATATTATTTATTTTTTTTAAATTATTTTTTTATTTTTTCAAAAAAAAAAAAAAAAAATACCGGTTTGGGTTTCAACCGCTAAATTATAATGTGTGTGTATCTATTAATGATTTGTGGTTTATGATTTATGATTATAGTTTGTATAATAATTATAAAAATTATAATTATATATTTTCCGAAAATTAATCCAAATAGTTTATTTTTTTATATAACAAAATAAAAAAATTAAAAAATAGAAAATAAAAAAATAAAAATTTAAAAAAATATATTTTTTTGTGTTTTTTCCTTCAAAATTAGATTTATTATAATTGTTTTAATAAAACCTATTTATAGATAATAGTTATAGTATTTTTGTGTGTGTGTGTGGGTTATTTCTACATGTCTGTGGTTTTTATTTGTGTTTGTGTATTTTAAACATTAGGCATTAGATATGTTTAATAATGATAAATAGATGGTGTGACAAAATAAAAACTATTATTTAAAATCTCTATTAAAAACTAAATAAAAAAATAAATATGTATTTATTTTTTAAATTGTTTGTGGTGTGAAGGTGTGAGTGTGTTTTAGCGTTTTTTGTGTAGATTTTTTAGTTTTTTATTTTGTATGTTATTATTTTATTTTTATGGGTTCATCATGACAAATAAAATTATTGAATTACTTTTGAAGTAAATATTAACCATTTTTACTAAATACAAATTGGATATTATTATATATAGGTTTTATGGGATGTAATCGATAATATTAGAAACTGGTTCGAACATTGGCCAAAAGCAACAACAAAAAAACAAATATGACAAATTTAACAGTAAAGATTATACAGATTTTTATACAGCTTTTTTAAAAAAATTAAAATTATCAAAAGTAATCAATTACAATCATAATTTAATTATCAATAAAATAAATAAATAAACAAACCAAAGTTTTATTTAACTTTAAAATATTTCTTTTTTTTAATATAAATAATTTTTTTATTTAATAATTTTTTTGTTTTATTTTATAAAACATCTTCGTTTTCTTTATTATTATTTTCGATTTCAATATCAACATCCATTTGATCATTTTCTTCGGTATTGGCATCGTTTATATTAATAAAACCATCATCTGTAAAAGTTTCATTTGAGCCACCGATCGAGGTAAAGTCATCTGAAATTTGGTTTATATTTGTACTATTATTACTATTATTATTATTATTGTTGACATCTAAATTATCATTTGATTTTTTAAAATTTAATTCTTCGTTAGTTTCATTTAATTTTTCTTCAATTTCTTCAATTTCTTTAATTTCTTCTTCGATTTCTTCTTTAATTTCATTGATTTCTTCCTTAATTTCTTTAATTTCTTCAACAATTTCATCTTTTATATCATCTTTTAATTCTTGTTTTAATTGATCAATTTCTTGATTAATTTCTTTTTCTTCAACGACTTCCTCATCCTTTTCGATTAATTTTTCAACGATGCTTTTATTTTCTAAATTATTTTCGTCAATTATAACTTGATCATCTGAGTGAATTTGAGCAGCAATTTCTTGTTGTTCTTGTTGTTGATAGTTTGCGCTATATCTATTTGAAGGGATATTTTTTTGGCCAATAGTTGGAGCTGGATGTAATACTAATGGAGTTGGGGCAGAGCTCTGTAAAATGACCTGTGGTAAATCTTTTTCACATCTTTTAATGAGATCGGCAAGGTTTTGTCTGATTTCAACATTATCGTGTAATGACAAGTCAATAAAGTACATAAAGAATGAAGGTTGGTGTTTTTTAAATTGTTCTTCATTAAAATTGGTAAAACCTTGTAAAATTTGACAAATAATTTTAATAACTCTAATATTATTATTATTAAATATTCTAGTTGTGTTGGATGATGTTGAGGAAGATGATGTTGTTGAGGTAGTTGGTGAGGTAATGGAGTTATTATTATTGTTGTTTTGATTATTACTGTTATTATTATTTAAGGTTGATAACGAATTTTCTTTTAATATACCTAAAGAAAGTCTTGATAAAATATCTTCAGCTTCTTTTGATTTCTTAATATTATCTTCGTTGATTGGTTCGGATGAATACATATCAAATAATAATGCCAATAAAAGAGAAAGTGCTGAGCATTCGTAGTTTTGAGAGTTGGCTTCACCAAAGTGATTAATAAATATCATTTCAGAGTTGATTCTTTGGGATAAAACGAAAACGATATCCCAATTCTTTACTAAAAGAACACTAAATTTACAAGGAGTTTTTGATTGAAGTTCGCTACAAACTTCGGTTATCTTTTGAAGGAATTTGATTGCAGTATTCCAATTATGAATTGATAAAAATGGTTCTGTCTTTTCAAATTTAATTAAATTATCTCTCATTTCTTTTCCGATTGATGATGATTCGTATTCTGTAATAATAAATGGTTTTAATGATGATAATGTACGACTGAATGCTGCTGTGGAATTGTTTGATTTCTTTGGTGTTTCTGGAGTAATTGCTGATACTGATGGTGAGGTTATTGATGTATTGCTATTATCATTACCGTTTATATTATTATTATTATTATTTGATGGATGGACTAATTTTGAAACTAATAGTTTATTTATAACTCTATTAATTGAATCGATAATGGATGTGCACCAAAATTCATTTGTGAAATAATTTGAACATTTTGAAATAAATAAAGCATAAAAATCGATGGCTATTTGACAAGAGAGTTCATTTGAACAACAAATAAAGGGCTCTAATAAATTTAAAACTGTATCTAAGTATTGTCTAAGCTCCTTATTAAATTTAATGAAAAACTCAATAAGATAATTGAGTAAAATTGGGAATGTTGTTTTTAACCATTGAGTAGACATTTCTGTATTTGATTTATTGGTTAAATCAATATTTGAAAAGATTGGTGAAATAATTTGATTGATTATTTTTTGCCAAATATCATCGTCAAATTGTTTACCCTTGATATTAAACAAATCAAATAAAAGAGCACATGATAATTTACGTACATTTTCATTTTCGTGGCTAATTGATTGTGCAGTACCTTCTAAAATTGGAATTAATAGTCTATTGATGTCGTTGATATTATCGAAAGGTGAATCATCTGGTGCTACTTTTTGTGAGAGTACATTTAAGGATTCTAATGCTTTAATTGAGATGTTTGCATAGTGTACCGATGGGCTAGAGAACGATGAAAGACACTGAATAATATCGATAAAAAAGTTATCTTCGACCAAATCGAAATTCTTGTTAATTATTTGTTCTAAACCTTGGTAAGAGAGTGTTACAATATTTTCATTTTGAACTTTTGAACCTGATTGAAGTACATTGATGATAGTTTTCCAACCAGACTTAATATTTTTAGCTTTTAATATTGAAAGTTGAACTACACAACGAATTACTAATTCTTTGATAGTATTTGATGGATTGTTCTTCATAATATCTTGGAATGGTTTGAGGAATTCATTTTGGAAATTATAATGGGACAACTCTTGTTTTTCTAAATATTTATTTGCCAATTGTCTTAATGAGTCAATGGAGTGTTGAGCGATTTCAATATTTGAATTACAACCAACCTTAGTAAAATGTTGAACAACTATTTCCCAAATATTATAAAATACTAAACGGATTCTTTTGAAGTTGTATTCGATTACTTCAACCAATTTAATTAAACTATAGTTACGAGAGTAATGATTAATTTCATCTTCGCTGACCTCGCAAAGACATCTAAAGAATGTAACAATCGAATCATCGGAAAGATTTGAAGTATTTGTAAAGATTCTTTCGATTTGGCTGCTATCGAATGACAATTGATTCTCTTCGATTAATTTCTTTATGGCAATTTCAATATTATTATATTGGATCATTGTTGGACTTAAAACCATATTTGGTGTTTGTGGATGTGATAAATTGGATTGTGGTGATTCACCATCTGGATGATTGATTATAATTGGTGATTGATGAACCTGTGGTGATGATAATTGGTGTGGTGATTGCACTAAAGATTCATCATTATTATTTATAAAATTATTATCTTGATTTTTTATACTATTAAATAATTGGAATCTTTCTAAAATACATATTGATTTTAAAATTGGTTGCCAGCTATCCTGTAAATAGTTACCTTCAGAAATACCGATTGATAATAAGGTTTTAACGCATTCGATATTCTTTAATGAGGGCTCTTTAATTGAGTCTAATAGGGAGAATTTCGATAAAGAGGTGATGAACGATGATCTTTCTACGTTCATATAAAAGATACAACTAACTCTGATTGCATAAGAAAAACCTTCTAAACATAGCTGTATAACTTTTTTATCTTTAGTATCGTCTAAAACTACACTAAGAGTTGATAAAACATAACACCATGATAATAAAAACATTGGTCTAACGTGTTCAATATTTCTTGCTTTATAAAAAATTGATTTCTTTGATAATTTAGCTTTAATTAATTCTTGGCATTGTTTTGCAATATAATCATTCTCTCTATTAAATCTTAATAGTCTTTCTTGACTGTCTAAAGCTAAATCTTTTTAAAAAAAATAATTAATAATTTATTTTAAAAATATTACAATCATTACTATTAATATATATTTACCATCATTAATAATTTTGAATGGTTCTTTTAATACTCTATCGTAAATACCAATTAAAAATGATTCTTCAAAATCTTGTTTGTTATTGCTTTTAGAATTCATTTTGATCCAATCTGATTTTGTCATTTTTGAAGTGATTGATGGGTTGTGGAGGTCAGTTGAAAGTAAAATTATACTGTATGATAAAAGATAGACAGACTCAGCATTTGAAAAAATTGATGATTTTGAATTATCATTAAAATACTTTTCTGCAAATTTTTCGATAATCTTATCAATACATTGGTTTTCGCCATGTAATAAAAATCCAAATAACAAATTTCTTAACGACTCGTCAATATTCATATCTTTGAAATCAAATAATTCCACATATTTGAATAAAACACTAAAATTAAATGAATTTCTAAACAAATATAAAAATAAAATTAGTATTTATTTTTAACCCATTTAATAATTATAATAAAAATAATGATAACTTACTGTTGTACTAAGTATTCACCAACTTTTTTTGGATCTAAATTTGAAATATTTGATTTAAAGAATTGTGCAATATCTTCGGGTGACTCTTTGATTATATTTTGTTTAATTAAAAATTCAACACCTCTTTTTGAAGATTGATTAAATTTATATATGCCTTGTTCTAATGGTGACATTGATGATAAATCCTTGTCATTCAACGAAGATGATGATGAAGTTGATGATGATAATTTCTTTCTTGGAGTTGATTCACCACTGCTACCACTACTTAAATCTTCCTTTGAGGTTAATTTTTTATTAATTTTGGTGACATTACTATTTTCATAGAGTTCTTTTGACCAATCTACCAATGATTTCATAATTGTAACTATACATTCTAAACCTAAAGTTTTAAACTTCATATCATCCAATGAAGAAGTTCTTTGATCGCCTGTAATTGTTCCTTGAGCTACTCTTGATAATTCGTAAACCATTTTTTCAAATATATCTTTTCTTTCTGGATCGCAGTCATAGTTAACGAAAATATCGACAATAGTTTGTGGATTCTTGCAGATTTCATAGAGAACTGGTAAAATTAACCACTTTTGTTTCGCTGAGCAACTTGGTGATGATAAAACATTTAATAAAATTTTGCTAAAAAATAAACCAATTTCTTCCTTTAAATACTCTTTAAAATGAATGATCAATGAAAGGAATAATGTTAATGTTAACTTGAAAACTGGTAAATGTTGATTGGTTCCATTTGTTAATAATGAGTTTGATAAATATCGTTTAATTGAACTTTGAATAAACTTCTCTGATAATTTCAATGATGGTAATGGATTTTCTAAAATTCTAGATAATAATTCTAATGATAACATTTTACTTTTCATTTCATGTGAGTCGGCATGTAATCTGTTATAAAAAAATTTATTAGTAAATTTGGTTTTAATAATTATTTAGTTTTATAAATAAAAAGTATTGATTAATTACCCATCTGGTATATCTTTGGTTGAAAGTTTACAAAATGCTCTAAATAATAATATTACATCGGATAAATTTGATTGATATGACAAATTACTTTAATTAAAAAAATAAAAAAATTAATATTATTTAAACTTTTAAAAATAATTATTTGGCAGATTATAATTACATTTCTTCATTTGATATCGCTATATTATTTGAATTTGAAGGATTTAATTTCTGTTGGCTAACAATTTCGAATTTTTGTAATACACTATCTACCATTTGAAACAATGCACTTTTTGCTGCGGTACTATTGATTTTATTTGTGCTAACCAAATAAATATTATATGAAGTTTTGATTGCATTCATCAAACAGGTGTCGTGCACATCGCATGTTGGTGTAATTACTGAGGTTAATAATGCTTTGATAATTTGTAATTGGACATTCTCATCCTGAAAGCTAAAATATGATCCAATTAATTCTACCATACTTTCGACTAATTTCTTTTTTTCACTTGAAGTTTCGTCCACAACTTGAGGTTTAACCATACCATATGACATCATTTTCTAAATAAAACAACATTAATTATTAATTTTATATTTCTTTTTAATATTAATCTGTTGTTAATAAACTTACATCTAAACAATCCAATGCAATAGTCATTATTTTGGGTTCTTTAGTTTCACATGCCAATTTCATTGGTAAATATAATTTATTAGCTAAAAGTTCATATTCTTTTATATCGCTGTTTAAAATAGAGATTCAATTAGTATAAACCCTTTATTCTTTTTATTTTAGTCTAATGAAAAAGAAAAAACGAATGCTTACTGTTTAGTATCTGATTTTGAAAATAAAGGTGAGTCTCTAATTGTATCTTGTGCAACTTTACAACAATCTCTTAAATGTGTATTCTTTCTAGAACTTGTACTAAAGATTTTTTGTAAAGTATTGTTAAACATTAATGCAATAGAATCATCCATTTTAATTAATTTAAATTATTATTATAAAATAATAATTTTAAAATTATTATTATATTTAAAACCCTTTCTTTCTATCTTTCTCGTACAAATATTTTGAATGATTATGTGAATATTGTTTTGATTTAGTTTTTAATATTTCCTTTTATATTCAAAATATATAAAAAAAATTAATAAAATTTAAAAAAAAAATAATAAAAAAAATTCAAAAAATAAAAAAAAAAAAATAAAAAAAAATAAAAAAAAAAAAAATAAAATATTTTTTAAATTATTTAAAATTATCATCAAAGGTGGTAAATTTGTTCAAGCATCCACTTACGTTTTCAAATAAATCAAATAATAAGAGAAAAACAAGAAATAAATAAAAGATGATGGAAATAAAATGAGACGAATTTGAAAAAAATGGTAATTAATTATAAATTTAAATATTGTTTTTTTTTTTTTAATTTTTTTTATTCTATACCAAATTATTTTATTTTAAAAGATGGAAACTTATTTTTTTTGACAAAATAGTAATAATTAATAATGGTTATAATAACAATATTAATAACTCCAACAAAATAACAATATTTACATTTTTTATATCAATTATATTTGCAAATTTTTATATAATTTTATAAATTTTTATATAATTTTATAAATTTTTAAATTCAAATAATCTAAAAAAAATATCTTAATAAAAAAAATATTTTATAATTCCGAATTTCCCGCACAATATCAACCACACAAAAGCTCTTATTGAGTAAAACCAACAATATTTCCCAAAAATAACACCATTTAAAAAAAACCTTTTTATATCTCAAAAAGCATTTATGTAAACATGTTGTGATCACAAAATAAAATTTTTTTTAATTTTTTTTTTTTTATAATGTAATAATAAATTAAACCAATAATATTTAGCTATAGAAATAATTTTTTATTTGTATTTTAATTTTTTATTGTCAATTAGGTTTTATTATTGTTTTTTTCCTCAATAAAAAAAATAGGAAAAAATGGATAATAATAATAAAAGACATTCAAATAGCTCAAATACCTCAAATAGCTCAAAAACCTCAAATAGCTCAAAAACTTCAAATAATTCCTATGGTTCAAATAACTCTTTAAATAATATTTCAATAAATGATTATGACTCACCTACTAGTAGTTGTTCACCAAATTCATTTTCACCAAATTTAAATTCAAAACCATATATTGTACCAATAAGTGATATTTCAGAAGACCACGACCTATCAGTATATGATGAAAAAAGAAAAAATAGTATACCCATTACAATTACCATTAATAATTTAAATGTTCAATTAAAAAACAGTAGTAGTGATAAATTATTTTCAAAAATTGGTTTATCTAAACCCAAACCAAATAAAAGCTTATTAAAAAATATTAATGCAATTATTAGACCAGGTGAATTATGTGCAATTTTAGGTGGCTCTGGTAGTGGTAAAACAACTTTGTTAAATACTCTCTCGGGAAGATATGTAAAGAGTGAGATGAAGGTAAAAGGTGATATATGCTTTAATAGTTTTAATCCATCACCAGATTTAATTCGTAAAACTGTTGGCTATGTAATGCAAAAAGATTATCCTTTACCCAATCTAACAGTTAGGGAAACTTTGGTATTTTCTGCTTTATTAAGATTGCCTGCATCCATTCCAAAAGAAGAAAAGTTAAAAAGGGTCGAAAGTATTATTAGTGAGTTATGCCTTAAGGACTGTGCTGATACCAGAGTAGGTGGTAATGGTAAACATGGTATATCAGGTGGTGAAAAAAGACGTTTATCTGTAGGCTGCCAATTATTAACTGATCCATCAGTATTGTTCCTTGATGAAATTACAACTGGGTTAGATAGGTAGGCCAAAATTATAATTTTTATTAATTTTTTTATTAAATTTTTATTAACATATTATTTAATTTTTAATTTTTAATTTATCTAGTTCTATAGCATTTGAATTAATCAAAACACTTTCAAAAATAGCCCGTATTCAAAACCGTACAATCATTACAACTATTCATCAGCCACAGGTTTCAATTTTTAAAATATTTGATAAAGTAATGTTATTATCCAAAGGTAGATTGGTGTATAATGGTCCAAGTAATGAAATGGTTGGTTATTTTTCGACAATAGGTTACCCATGTCCAAAATTAGAAAACCCTGCAGATTTTTTTATAGATATTTGTTCAGTAGACTATAGAAATCAGGTATTAGAAAATGAATCAACTCAAAGATTGGATCAATTGGTAAATAGTTTTCAAATATCGGGATCTTTTTCAAATTTAAAAAAAAAAATCGAAGAGGTAAATAATATTGGCAATAAAAACCTTTCAGATCAGCAAAAAGATAGTATCTCAATTTCAAGTGGCAATATATCACCAATTCAAAACAATAATAACGAAATTTTATTATCAAAGTACGAATTAAAATCACAACTAAGAGACTCCAAACCATTTTATTATACAATCCCAATTTTATCGAAAAGGGCATATATCAATCACTTAAGAGACGTGGATGCAGCAATCACTAGAGTATCGCAAGTGGTATCTTTTGCTATAATGCTTGCATTATGTTTTTTAAGAATTGATAGAGATCAAAATGGTATTCAAAATACCGTAGGTTTCCTATATCAGTCATTATCTTTAATTTTTGTTTCATTATTAAGTTGCATTGCTTTATGTAAAGTATTTAAATATTATTTTTTAAAAAAAATAACAATTCATATTAATTTTTTTTTTTACAGTTCCAACAGAAAGAAATTTATTTTATCGTGAAAGAAATGATGGGTTATATTCGACATTTTCATTCTTTTTTTCCTACATGACATTAGAAATACCATTTAATATATTTGGATCATTGGGATTTTCATGTATCACATATTTTGTACTAGGTTTAAAATTAGAAGCAGATTCTTTTTTCATTTTCTTTTTAGTGGTATTTCTTTTAACATTTTGTGGTGAATCAGTAGGACTATTTGTATGCTCTATGTTTTATAATATAAACTTGGCAACAACCATCGCAAATATCAGTTTATGTTTATTTAGTATTCTCTCTGGATTCTTTAGACCAACAGCTCAAATGCCCTCCATCCTCCGATACTTTAACTATGCATTACCAACAAAATGGGCAAGTGAAGTTTATTCCGCAAACGAATTAAGAGGAAGAACTTTTTCATGCCCAGGCTCTCAATCATTGGATGGTAATGGTACTGTTTGTCCAACTTCTACTGGCGAGGAGGTACTAGCTAGGTACTCTTGGGAAGATATAAACATTGGTCATTCTCTTGGTGTAATGATAGGTTTATCAGTTATTTATCGTATAATAGTTTTTATTGCTTTAAAATATAACAGAAAAAATATAGTTCAATAATTAAATAAAAAAAAAAAATAAAAATAAAAATAAAAAAATAAAATCTAAAAAACTATTATTGGTTTTAAAAAACTAAAGCTTTTATTTATATTAATAACTCCATCTCGTTTTGTGCTACAAAGTGTGGCAAACCAATTCTCTTGGTATAAAAGTTGATTAAAGGATCTCCTTTACCTTTTTCAATATTAGATACTGTATAATGGACGTTTTGTGGTTCGTCCATTTCCATAACCATTTTATAAACAAGATTGGTTGCAATATTTTTGTTTCTATAGTTTGGATGAACCAAAGTGTGTCTTATTCTTTTATTTGAAACACATACTGAAATCATTCCAACAATTTCATTTGGGTTACTATTATTGAATGCAACCCAACATTTATTTTTATTTAGATTAAATTCTCTTTTGATGCACTCGGTTGTATTGGACCATGATGGTTTAACTTCTGAGTATGTTTTTAAAAAGTTTTCTAAATCTTTGCTCCATTCGGTAACTTGGACAATGTTTATATCTTTGTTTAAATACTGTTCTAAAGGTTTAATATCCAAATCACCTTTATAGGACTCTAAAACCCTTGAAACCTTGAACCCACAACGGTTATAGACTTTAGCTGCTCTTTCGTTGGTATCAATACACTCGAGTACAACACTTTTTATGCCATCCTCCCTCAATTTTGGTACCATAGCTTTATATTGTTCTTCAACAAGTCTTCTTCCTCTTGCAGAAGGGACCACACCGGTGACACTATTATAAAGCTTAGTTGGTTTTTCATTGTCATCAGCAGCGTGTAAAATAAAGCCAACCAATGATTTGTTTTCATCATAAACTGAACTTGAAAGATTTATTGAAATGTCCTCAGCTTTGATTTTTTGGCTTAACAATTCTTCATTGAGGACAAATTTAATAACATAGTCGCTAAATGCTTCATTTAATGTGTCGGATAAAACTTTTAAATTGAAATTATCTTTTAAAGGTTTAATGTCGAATTTATTTTCAATCATTTTATTTGTTTAATTAGTTACCTGTTGTTTATAATAAAAAATGAAAAATGAAAAAAATAAAAATAAAAAAAATTAAAATGAAAAGTTTTCTAACTGATTTTATTGTTAAATTCTCAAGAATCTCCCTGTCAAATAAACCAAAAAAAAAAAAAAATGGAGTATTCTTTTGACATTTTGATACTTTAATCTGTTTAGAAAAAAAAAAAAAAAAAAAAAAAAAAGAAAAAAGTAAAAATGCAAAATGAAAAAAAAAAATGTCATAATGTTATATAAGGGTATTGTTATTTATTTATTAATTTTCATCTATTCTTTATCTATTTGATGTATATTCGTCATAATTATCGTCATCTCCATTTGTTTCATCTTCTTCGTTTTCTTCTTCATTTTCGTCTGGGTGGTATTCTTCTTCCTCGTCCTCTAATTCTAATGGATATCTTAAAATTGCTGCAACACCTGATAATTTTGATAGCTCTATTATAATATAATGTATTAATATATAATATTTTTTTTAAAATAAAAACAATAATTTAAAAAACTTACGCTCACCAGTAACATGTAAACCTGAAAATAATTTAACTTCACCTTTATTTTCTTTAACTGATTGAACCAAATCTACATATTTCTTTCTAGTTTTAACATCTTTACCTCTAAATAATTCGTCAGTTACTAAAAGTGTTTCGACTGCTAATTTTTCATTTGCTTTTTTAACATGTTCAAAACCATAGAATGCTCTATTTGGATCTTTTTTTAACATATCATAAAAATCATTTAAAATTTTAACTTCGCTTGCTGCTTTTGTACTTGAAAGTTGTTGGATAACTGCAGGGTCTGATAATACCTCTTTCAATGAATATCTATGACCCGATGATGAATGTGTAAGAATAAATTTAGATTTATTTGCTTTAAATTCTTTGTATAAATCATTTTTACTTGATTGATCCATCATATATTGATAAAATTTATCCTATATATATATAAAATAATTTTAAAATTAATTTAATTTGAAAATATTATAGAGTACTATACAACCAACCAATTACCTTAACAAAAGCTGGACTTGCGATAATAAAACATTTTACAACTTGAAAATTTATATTTCTTTGAATGGATTGAAGTATGACATCAAAGAACTTCTCTAAACCTTTTTGATGGTTATCATTGGTTGATCTACCTTTACGTGGTACTGGAACTTCGATTCTACCCTTAACAACGGTCATTGCGGATGTGATTAAACAAAGATTTGCTAAACCTTCGTTCATAATTAATGCAGCTACATCAGCACGTTGACCTATATCAGTAGCATTCTTTACTAAATCCAACGATATTGCATCCCATTCTGGTTTGAAAAGTTGGAACTCACGATTCATTTCGAGATCGACTGTATGATATGAACCCATTTTAATAAATCTATTTTCTACACATGTTGAACCGCTAACTCTTAATAAACTTGAATTTCCATCGTAATCGATTTTAGTTACCAATATAGTTAATTTTAATTTCTGTCTCTCACTGGTTACTGAACCTGTTGCTGTCTCTTTCTGAATCTTTCTTACGGTTGAACTTGTCAATTGATCCCCAACACTAATTAAATTATAACAATGCCATAAATCCTCCTCTTCCTCTAACTGTAATTTGACATATCCTGATAAATCCTTTTCGATATATTTTTTTATTAATTTCATTTTCTTTCCGACTGACTATAAAAAAACTATTTTATTATAATTATTATAATGGTATTTAAAATAAATTTCTTTTAAAAACTAGTTACAATAAAAATGTTAAAATAGAATTTCTATGATATATATATAAAGTGTACAAAAAATAATATGTTTATTAAAAATCTAATAATATATACATTAATTTAAATTATAATTAATTTAAATTTAATTTAATTTATAGCTGTAAATCTATTCATATAATAAATAAAAATAAAAAAATTAAAAAAAAAAAAAAAAAAAAAAAATTGCAAAAAAAATGAAAAATAAAAAAATAAAAAAAATAAAAAAAAATAAATAAAAAATTTAGAAAAAAAAAAATAAATAAAAAAAATTATTTATATATCTAAAAAAATAAAGAAATAAATAAAGAAATAAAAAGTTTATGTGTAGTTACATTGAGAAAAAAAAAAAAAATTATTATATATTTTATTGTAATGAATCGGTAAAATGGGGAGTATAAATTTTTTGTTGTGCTGCCTGTGCTGCTTGTTGTTGTTGTTTATTATGAATTAATTGATTTAACTCTTGTTTGACGCTTTCCTCCATTTTTCTAATTTGAGTCATGTCCATCCCAAACCATTCATCCATCCAACAAAATACCTGTCTATGTCCCATAAAAAGAATATCTCTTATTGCGCTCTATACACACCCACACAAAAAAAAAAAAAAAAAAGTTAGTGTTGTGTTTAAAAACAAGATTTTTAAAATTTTACTTACTCTTTGAATAAAATTTTCAACTTTGTTTTGAATACCCCAATATCTAAATTCGACTTTACAAACTTTATAACTACACATAATAGGCTTTGTTGAGCCTATCCAGTCTCTTTGCAATCTTCCTCTGCCAGTTTTAGATGATTTAAAAACAACTGGATCCTCTTCAGTTTTATATCTTGCTTCATCAATTGGATCATATGCTATATCTATAAAATCGACTTCTCTTTGTGAAAGTTCTTCTGAATTTAAATTTAAACACTATATAAAATTAAATTTACATTAAAAAAAAAATTAGGGAATTATTTTTTTTTTTGATTTTTTTTTTGATTTGGTTTTGATCGGAAAAATTATATATCAAAAAAAAAAAAAAATTTTAAATGATTATTACATTATCTTGGGTACCTGAATCTGGGGCATATCTAGTTTCAATTGAGATTGAAAATCTATCACCTAATAAAGGACACTTTATTTTAATAATAGTATTAGTATTAGTTATTCTCTACCTTTTTTAGTATCAATTATATTATACACCTACTTGGTATGTAGTTTTACAATAAGGGTAAGCATTCCATGCTTTTTCTTCGATTTGGAGTGATGTTGGTGCAAATGATCTTAACCAAGTTGGTAGCTTGTTACCAAGATGAAAAATTTTATGTGTAAATTGGCCATTAAGTGCACCATCGGAATATGGTTTATTATCTATAATTTCTACACCTTCACCATTTGCTGTATGATTTTTACTGACTTTGGCAACCATATAAAGTTGTGCAATTTTATATTCATCGACAGTGATTGGTAATGGAATTCTGTATTCTCTAATTAAAACCATTCTTTATTGTATATATTGTTGTATTATTGAAGTATTATTGGGTTTATAATTATTATTTAAAATTTAAAAAAAAAAAAAAAAAAACGAAGCTACTTTGGTAAAATTTAATTTTTTAAAAAATAAAATTAATTAATATTAATTATTTTTATCTTATTAATTAAAATATGTTTTTTTTTTTTTGTTTATTTGACGCTATTATATAACTGATCTTTTTATTTGGTTATACAATTTAACAATACTAATTATTATTTAAAATAATTTGATAAGAAAAAACATTAACAATTAATTTAAAAATAATTATTTTATTGTTTTTAATTTGGGTAGCTAAATTAATAGTGAGTGAGTAAGTAAGTGTGAGTGTGTGTTGTGTGTAAGTGATTATATCTTGTGTGTATGTGATTGGGTGGGAATGATAGGTGCAAGTTTTTTTTTTTTAAATTTTAAAAAACTTTTTTTTCTTTTTTTTTTTTTTTTTTTTTTTTAAAAAATATTACAAAAAAAATATATACAACAAATATAAAATAATAGTATCACTACTTTTACAATATTATTTTTATTTGTTCCTTTTTTTAAAAGATTATTAAAAAAAAAAATTAAAAAAAAAAAAAAAAAAAAAAAAAAAAAAAAAAAAAAAATTTCTATTTTTTTAAAAAAAACTTTTTTTTTTTTTTTTTTTTATAATTTTTTATTTTATTTAATTTTTTTATTTTTTTTTTATTTAAATATTCAAATTAAAATGGAATCATTGCTCGTTGGTGATTATAAATCCAAGTATGTATAACAACATGACACCAAATAAATCAAAATATATTATGTTAATTTAATATTTTAAAAAAAAAATAATAAAAATATACACACATATATAAGGTTACCGAAATTTACCAAAACAATAAAATAAATAATTGGTTTTTAAAAAGTGTGGATTTTTTTGAAAAAAAAAAAAAAAAATCCAAATGCATCACCACACCACGATTACATTTTTTAATTTAAATTTTCAAAAAAAAAAATAAAAAACAAATTATAATAAACAATTTAAAAAAAAATAAATTATTAATATAATGAAATATGTTACAAATTTAGGGTTAGCTCCGTATTAAATAAAAATACTAAAGAGTATGGCAAGGAATTTCTATTTGATGGTAGTGATGAAACATGTTGGAATTCACACCAAGGCTCACCACAGTCCATAGTCATTCAATTTGCCCAAGAAAACGTTACAGTAAAACAAGTGAATATTATGTTTCAAGGTGGATTTGTTGGAAAAGATTGCGAAATTTTAATTATGACCAACGACTCTAAAGATTTCGTTCACTCTTGTTATTTTTACCCAAAAGATATCAATACTACTCAAAATTTCCCAGTCGAATCAAATAACACCAATGTAAAACAAATTAAAATTTTATTCCCACAAAGCACTGATTTCTTTGGTAGAATTACAATTTATAAATTAGACATCTTAGGTACAGCCAACTAAATTAAATACAATAGCAATATCGAAAACGACGAAAACAGCCACAACTAAACAATAAACCATATCAAAAATAACAGCAATAATAAATTAATGAATTTGTTATTGTATGATGTTATAGATCCAAATTAATTTTAAAAAAAGATTAATTAATTTAGAATGAATAAACTATATATGTTTACAAATAGTGTATTGGTTAAATTAAATTGTTTATTTTTATTTTTATTTTTTTGCTTGCGGGCTTGTTTGTTTTTGAAATTGGATGTTTTACATTGGATATATTATTATTATAAATTATTTTTATATATTATTATATTATTGTTACATTGAGGGTTATATGCTTAATATAAGTTTGAAACGATTTTCTTTTCCCACATAGTTAGCTTTTCGAAATCAGTATTTATATGTGGAAGCTTGGAGAATATCCTTTCACCATCATATTTAAATTTATTATAAGGAATAGCTGCTTTTTGAGTAAAACCAATGTGTTCACAGAGTCTTTCTCCACTTCTAGTTGATGTTTCACCAACCATATATTGAAAATTATATGCTCTTGCTATATCTGTGCTGTGATACCACATGTCATATGCAACACCCTAAATAGTAATGATGTTTGATGTTAATTAATTATTTTTTTTTTTTTTATTAAATTTTTATATTTTCTTTACCTTTCCTCTATTTTGTGGAGTTACACAAGTAAAGTAGAGTGCATGGATAACTTCACCAAATTTAATATTATTAACATGTTGCTGTTTATATTCTTGGTGTAATTGTGCAAAAATTGATTTAACTGGGTTCTATATTATATAATGATAAAAAAAAAAAATGTTAGAAAATGTTTTTTTAATTTAGATTCATATTTATTTAATTAAACTTACCCAAACTTCATCTAAGCCAGTGTGAAATGTTGGAGGTTGACGCTCTTTCCAATCTTCTAATAAGATACATCCAATGACCTGTTGATCTTGATTGTTAATGGCAACTAAACTGTAATCTTTTTGGGCAGCTCTGTCAATAAACATATGGGACATTTGAATCCAATTTTGCTGATTTAATTTTAGTAATTGTGTAAATGGATCATTTGAAAAACTCTTTACAACACAATCTACTACCTTAGGGACCATATTTGGTGTTAATACTTTATATGTAATATTACTGAGATGTTGATGGGTCATTTTGTAGAATTATAAAAAAAAGAAATGAAAAGAAAAAAAATAAAAAAAGAAATAAAAATAAATATATATATATATTTGGGTAATATTACCAATTATTGGACATGTTTAAAAATACCCATAAAAAAAAAAAAAAAAAAAAAAAAAACCCACTTCATTTTATTTAAAATTAATTTTTTTTTTTTGAAAAATTTTTTAATTAAAAAAATTAATTTTTTTTTTATATTAATTTTTCATATAATTAAAAATATTTCATAGTTATCCATAAAAAAAAATATATGTGAAAAAACTCCTCTAAAAGAATAAAGTTTTAAAATTTTATTGTTTTATTATTATATTGTTTTTAATTTTATCTAAATTTCTTTTATATATAAAAAAAACAAATAATTTAAAGAAATAGAATGATCATTATTTGAATTATTACCAATATGGGTTGAGATTGATTAAAATTAATAAAAATATATTTCAAAATCATTGTTATTGTTATTGTTAAGTACCAAAATATTTATCGGTTATTTGACCGCAAGATTTACACTTTCTTAGAAAAAAATGGATTGTGACCAAAGTTATTATCATTTCTCGTGCTCATTATTATTTCAAGGGAGTTACATAATTCAAATGATGGAGATAGAGATTATATAGTAAATAATATTAATTGTACTACCGCAAACCATATTTTTAAATTTAAGACTTTTTTAATCAAATAAAAAAATGATCAGTTTAAAAGAAACAATAGTAATTATTGAACTATCAGTTTTAGTCTCAAAGTCAACATTAGAATTAGGTTTTATATTCAACTATATTTGAAATTAAGAAAATTTTGGGGGCTCCAAATCAAAAAAAGCATGGAATAGAATATGCAAAACCATTTTGCATTATTAGATTCCGTAGATGATAAAAGCGATAATGAAGTTTTTATCTCAAGATAAAGTTTAATAATTGTTTATATGCTAACTTTCCAATATTTTTATCAATTTTATTATTATTATTTTTTTTTTATTTTTTTATTTTTTTTTTTTTAAAAATGAAATTTTTAAAAAAATTTTCTTTTCATTTTTAATTTTTTTTTTATCTTATTAATTTAACAAATAATAAAACAAAACTAAATAAACGATACCAATAACATAATAAAATAATAAAATAATAATAAAAACAGTATAGTTATAATGAATCAAAAACCCAAAGTTAAATTAACTAAAAAAGATTATTTAGATAAAAAAGAAAGAGAACAACAATTAGCAAATAAAGCAAATAGAGAAAAAGATAATAAAGAATTTGTCGAAAAGAATTCATTAGATAAGGAGAATGAAATTTTATTAAATGAAAGTAAAAAACATCAGTTAGGGTTGGGATCAGAAAAACTATATACATTAATTAAGAACAGTTTAGGTCAATTGGAAAAAAGAAATGATATTGATCCATATTGGATTAATAATGAAGAGTTTAGATTATCTTTTATAGCATTTCTTCCAACTGATAATAAAGAGTCAGGTTCATCAGAAGAAAGTTTACTCTTTATGAATTCAGATCTTTCAAATCTATTAAAATACAAATACAATGTTTTTTGGAGCCACTGCATTTATAATAAATCATTACAAGAGTTTTTAGATAGTTTCCTTCGTTTCTTTGAAAGAGATAGCCAACCACATATAAGACTAGTCGATCAATCATCACAACAGCAACAACAACAACAACAACTATCAAAACGAGGTTCTCATGATTTCATAAATTCAAAAAAGATATTATATCGTCGTGTATTTTTAGTTTTGCTCAGAATGTCAATGCAACAAGAGAAATCTGGTAATTTTTTAACAAGAAATTATTATGCAGATACTATTTATGAACAAAAGCTTTTTACAATCCCAAAAATCTTTGATATATGTACTTTATTTTCCCCTCACTCAAAATCGAATGTATCAAATTTGTTACAAAATTTATTTGATACTCAAAAAAAATTTTATTCAGATTTAGACCAACATATGTTATTAATTTCAAAATCATTATCAGATTTAAATCAAAGTTTATTAAATAGAGTAAATATGATAATATAAACTTTCAATTTAAAATCAATCATTTATTAATTTTTTTTTTAGGGTTATTTAGATTTGCTTAGATTAGAAGATAATTATTTAATGGATATAGTGTATAATGTTAATACATTTTTAAGATTGTTTCCAATGGGTACACATTCAATTTTTGATGAAAGTCTCAATAGCAATGAAGAAGGTGGTGTTGGTGGTGTTTTATCATGGCTTACCTATTTTTATGAATATATAATCCCAATTTTCAACAGAGAAAACCAAAAACTATTAAATAAAACCAATAGCAATACCTTAACCCCAAGTATTTATGATCCATTAAAACAACATATCTTAAATATTTTCCATTGTATCTTCAAGCACCTTTTCTTTATCAAAGTTGAACAATTACAATTCCTTATCCAAGATCCATGCCAACTCTGTGGAAAGAAGCCAGCTGGAATTCAAGAAATTTCTCGTAGATTCTTTTCATTCCTGGGCTCAATAACTTCATTTAGCCAACAATGTATTGGATCAACTAAAAATAACAGAACTAAGCTCTTCAATGAATACTTTGATTCGATTGCCAGTGCCTCTCTTCTATATGACTATGAACAGACATACAAATTATCGCATTTCATTGAAAATATTGTTAACTTGGATGATACAGTCGATCAAGTTTCCTATACTTACTTTATGCAGTTAATCGGTAAATCAGTTTCAGATAAACCAGTTCAAAAACCAAAGAAAAAGCAATCATCTCAACAACCACAGCAACAACAAGAAAAATCACAAGGCGGTATCGGTATTATCAATAAACCAACTATTTTGGATTATGACAAAATAAATCAAGTTCAATCATTATTCCCAGACCTTGGTGATTGGTTTGTTCATTCATGTTTGAAATTTTATAATAATAACGTTGAACAGGTTATCAATGCTCTTTGTGACGATTCAGTTTTACCTCAACACCTTAAATCGATGGATAAATCATTAAAATCTGAACCAGTTAAAACAACCTCACCAAGACCAAATGACAATAGTACTACAATCCCAACAGCAACAGCACCTGCTAAAACTGCTACAACTACCACAACTACCACCACAACCACTACAACATCAGCACCTAAAGACAGTGTAAAGAAACTTTCAGTATCAATGGAAAGATTAAATATTGGTAAAAAGTATTTATATTTATCTAAATTTTTTTTACTTTAAAGAATAATCAATTATTAACTTTATATTTTAATTTTAGATCACTTAATCCAGAATTCCAGAATACTAGCGATATTGAAAGAGCCAAATCCTTTATTAAAAATTATGAATTAATCTACGATGATGAATATGACGATTCCTTAGAAGAGTTTTCAAGCTTCAAAGTTCAAGATGGTGAAACCTATATTGAAAATGATAGTGATGTTGAAGGTCAGGCAAGTGAAGATTCAAAGAAAAAGGATTCAAAAAATAAAAAGAGCGGTAATAAAAAAGATAATAATAATATTAATATTAATATTAATAATAATAATATTGATGATAATAATAATAATAATAATAATAATAATAATAATAATAATAATAATAATAATAATAATAATAATAATAATAATAATAATAATAACAATAATAATAATATCCCAAATGATAATAAATCAAAAACCTCTTTTTCACATGCACCTATTAAAAGTGAAAAGAGATCAACTCCATTTTTACCACCAACAAAGAAGACCGAAAAAGATAGAAAAGATAATAATAACAATAAAATAGATAATAATGTTTCTAATATAACAACCACCAGTTCCAGTACCGGTAATATTTACAGCAGTGGCAGTAGCAGTAACAGAAACATTAGCACAATTGGTACTAAAACAACAGAAACAATTTTATTTGAAGAAAATGATGAAGGAGATGATTATAAAGCAAACGTATTCCCATCATTTAGTGGCAAAATTCTTCCATCAGGTGCTCCACGTAAACCACATGTCAGAGAAACTTTTAAAGGTAAACCACGTTTCAATCCAAATAATAATAACAATAACAAAACAGAAAAGCAAGAACAAGATACACAAGAGCCAAAACAAGAACAAAAGCAAGAAAAACAAAAAGATCAAAAACAAAAACAAAATAGAAGATCCAATAATCAAACTCCAAAGAGATATTATTAAAATAAAATTTAATAAAAGATCAAGTTTTGATTTTTTTTTTTTTTTTTTTAAAATAAAATTTTATGTAGTCTTTTTTTTTAATTGTACCTTTATACATCTATATATAAGGAAATACAATATTCTAAAAGTTTAATATTTATTTAAAAGTTTAAAATAACTATTAATAAAAAAAAAAGTTATCTGACAAAGTGCCAGAACTATATAGTTATTTTGTGAGTTGAATATATTTACAATTTTTTTTTTCTATTTGATCATTTATTTCCAAAAATTAATAAGCTTCTTAAAAGTATTGAATGGGCTTACTCTTGGTCTATCGTCTTCATCGTCACTACTTCCAGAATTGTTATCGTAATTATTATCTTTACCATCGCCAGCATCTCCATCACTATCACTATCACTGTCCACTATTATTGTTTTTGAATTTAAGTCTCTATTTGAAGATGACTTCTTTTTTCTTTCTCTTTTTAAATTATGTTTGGTTAATGAATCGTTTTTATCAGCTTCTCGCTTTTTATCATTTGATTTTTTATTTGGTTCATTTTCTTTAAGTCTTTTATTGCTGGAATGATCTTTATCAGAGTCTTTGCGTTTCTTTGATGAATTTGTTGTTGTAGTGCTAGTAGTTGTTGTGGTGGTGGTTGCACTTGATTTTCCGTTACCAACCAATGTAGCCTCAATTTCTTTAATATCATCTTCCTCTTTTTCATATTCGACATTATAAATATCTTTTAAACAAAATTCTAAAATTAAATAAAAAATAAATTAGTATAAAGAAACAATATTATAAATAAAGTGTATTACATACCAGCTCTACAACATACACATGTTGAAAAGGATTTAAAACCATTTGCTGATGATACCCAATAATGCTTAATTAAACACTCTTTGCACATAGTTGGACCACAACGACAAACCGCATTTTCACAAAAAGTTGTTTTTCTATGATTTTCTCTTTCGGGTCTAGCCTCCACACCAAGTCCTGGGAATAACATGCTCAAACCTCTTGGTACTCTTCTACCAGTTGTTGTATTTGGTTGTTGTAAATTTGTATTTGTATTCGAGGTTGTATTTGTGGTGTTTGTATTTGTAGTAGTTGTCGAACCATCTCTAATAACATTAATATTACTATTAATATTACTATTACTATTAATATTACTATTACTATTACTATTACTGTTACTATTACTATTACTGTTACTGTTACTATTATTATTACTTTCGCCACTACTATTAGGTTTTTTATCTGTACAAGTTCTTTTAATTAACATATCGGCTGTATTTTCTAAACAAATTGTGCAAGTATTTTTTTTACTTTCTGGTGTCTTCTGGGTTGGTCTTTTTGAGAGTAAATCTAGAGCTTTCTTTCTAAAAAGCTCTTCAGTGGGTGGACGTACATGATCTGAAAGTTTGGTAATTGTTTCTAGTTGTGACTTTATCATTGGCTCGACATTTAACAAAGCTGAAGAAATACTACTATGAGTTTTGATTATTTCTTTTAAAAATGTTGGAACTTTGGGATCGTCTATATAATCGATATCTTTTACCAATTCATTTAAACTATCTTGAATTTTCTTTACATAGTTTAGTAATTCTTTATTAAACTGCTCGGTTTTATTTTTACATTCTCTTATTCTTGATACTAAGGGAGATGCTTGACTCATATCTCCTTCACCAATCGATAATAACCTTAATAAAATTTGTTGTGCTGGTGGTACATTATTCGTTGGATTACCTGAAACTATTAAATTAAATTGAATATCCATAACTATAATACACTAATATTTCTAAAGATAAATAAAATTGAAAATATTTATATATATATTTTATTTATATTAAAAACAATAGAGAAAAATTTATTAAAAAAAAAAATTAAAAATTTTTGTTGTGTGTTGATTTTTAAAAATTTATTAAATTAATTTTATTTAATATATAATTTATTAAATAAATAAATAAATAAGTAGGGTTTAAAATGGTTTGTTTCCTTTTTTTGAAAAAAAATTTAAAAAAAAAAAAAAAAAAAAAAAATTTTTTTATAAATTGAAAAAAAAAAAAAAAAATTTTTTAAAAAAAAAAAAAAAAAAAAAAAAAAAAAAAAAAAAAAAATAATTATAATTTTAAATTTATTTAATTAAAAATATTTTAAAAAGGAAATATTTTAAATTCGATATTGAATAAAAAGACTTCGAAAAGTCTATACTAATTTAACATGAAATCCATATAAAACTAATTGAAATTTATATATCTAGAATGACATAGTAAATTTTAAATTAAAAAAAAAATTAAAAAAATAAAAAAAAATAAAAAGACTCGTTTGCTTTTTTTATGTGTGAAAATTTTAAATTAAATGTGGGTATAATTTCATTATTTAAACCCAAAATTAAGATATTTAAATTTTACTTAAATATTCATTTTATATTAATTTTAATTTATATTACTTTTTTTTCCGCTATTGCACTATAAGATGCCTATAAAAAAATAAAATAAAAATAAAAATAAAAATAAAAAAAAGAAATTATTATTTTTTAATTTTTTTATTTTTTTAATGATAACTTTTTTTTTTTTTTTTTTTTTTTTTTTTTTCTAAAATTTTTTAGTTTTTTTTTATTCAAAAATTAAAAATAATTATATATCTTTGTATAAATATCAAAAACTAGGAATTTAAATTTTTTGGTTTTTTTATTTTTTTTAATTTTTTAATTTTTTTTTGAAGGGGGGGTTTAAAAAATTTAAATTTTTTAAAAAAAAAACAAAAAAAGGAAAAAAATAAAAAAAAGTTTCAGTTTTTTTTATTTTTTTTTTAAAA